ACACACACACACACACAGCGGGTGGGGCAAGGGCCAGGCAAGCCCTCGCATCTCCACACCCGGACGCGGGCAGGAGCCGGCACGGCACATTCAATGTGCAAGGCCTCCGCAGGCGTGGCGAGGGCGGCGGCGGCGCTGCGCGCCTTAGCGCACGTTGGCGGGGACGTGCTCGAGACGCCGAACTTGGTTGAGCAGGCGGCGCTGGACGTATTGGGCGACGCGAGAACGGCGGGCTCGTTCCTGACGCACTGTTTTGCATAGAGATAGACACCGCGCACGGAGAGAGAGACAGTCCGATTGACCATGTCACCCAGTGGGTTGGTGACTTCGTGTGTGATCACACCCCGGCATCATTTATACAGTACAGTCCTACAGTTTCTTACAACGCACTTTCAACGATCTTGCTTTACGAACGATCTTACACTACTATGTACTAACGATTTTGCTGTACGGCTCTACTTCTATACTGTCTGCGGTCCGGCGCCCTCGCCGTCAGTCCGTGTGTGTGTGTGTGCGTTTCCGGACTCGTCGCGCGCGCGTTTCGAAGCGACATTTTCCTTTGCCCGAGCGAGAGCCCTGAACACGACGTCTTTGGTTGTGGCAACGTCGGCGGCGGCGGCGGTAATGGCGTCGCGGCGCAAGATCTGCAGTTGGAAGCCGTTCTTGTCCTCGACGACCTTGTTGATGATCTTGGCGCCCTGAGTGACGACGTTGTACTCGGCGTCCGTGACGCAGAAGCCGGGGCCACTGCCAAAGAGCACGATGGTGCCTCTTGGCTTGCGCCCGCTCTGCGTCGCCTCGAGCTCACAGTACTCGGCCAGCTGTGCGACTGCGGTCGTCCAGTTGCGCACGTCCTTGAGCTCGATCGTGTGTGACTGCTCAGCGTCGTGGTAGTCGCGGTACAAGCGGAAACCGTAGTCACGGTGCAGCGGGAATTGTCGGCCGGAGACCAGGTACCTCCCGTCCTCGAGCAGGATGCTGCCCGGGATGGACCCGTCGCCGAACTTGTCTGCGCCAAAGCCGAACAGCCCCCCGCGGCCAGCTCCTTCTGCCCGTCCGAGCCGCCGCGAACCAGCGCCACCAGAGGCGGGATACCCCCCGCCTGCGCAATCGCCACCTGGTTGTCGGCGTTCTTGAAAGCGAGGTTCCACAGCGCCGCCGCGGCATGCTCCTTCTGCCCGTCCGAGCCGCCGCTCGTCTCTTTATGCCCCTTCCCGTACCGCGCAGCGCACCCCTCCAGCTCCTCCCGGAAGAGAGGGATGGCGTCGCCGAGCCTGCCCTGCTTCTGCAGCAGCGCGCCAAGGTTGAAGATCGAGGTGAGCGTGCTCGGGTGCTGGTCGCCGAGCGTCTCTCGCCTCGCCGCCAGCGCCTCGCGACAAAGCGCCTCCGCGCCGTCCAGGTCGCCCTTTTGTTGATCGAGGTGAGCGTGTTCGGGTGACGGTCGCCGAACGTCTCTCGCTGCCCCTCCAGCGCCTCGCGGTACAGCGCCTCCGCGCCGTCCAGGTCGCCCTGGTGCTTCAGCAGCCGACCGAGGTTGCTGATCGAGATGAGCGTGTCCGGGTGCCGGTCGCCGAGGGTCTCTCGCTTCGCCTGCAGCGCCTCGCGGTACAGCGCCTCCGCGCCGTCCAGGTCGCCCTTGGCGTGCAGCAGCCCGCCGAGGTTGTTGATCGAGCCGAGCGTGCTCGGGTGCCGGTCGCCGAGCGCGGTTACTGGACCGTCACGTGTTCAACGACGTTGAACAGTGTTCAACCACGGCGCTGTTCACAGCGCGCGCGGACGGCCGTTCTGCGAGTCCAGCTCCGCTGGACTTTTGTAAAGCATGCTTGTGGCAAGTTATAGACGCTAGTATCGACCTCAGAGACCCAAACCCGAATTAATAATTAAGGCTCAAAGTATGGTTGAACAACCGTTGAACAAACAGGTTGAACAACGATATCCGACTAGTGCGACCGCTAGACGGCGGTCTCCGCCGGCCCCAAGGCTGCCCAGCCCCAGTACCACACCGGCCACGTAGACCGTAGCGCTGGAGTTGGTCAGTGAGGCACTAGACGGGCTACGGAACCATGCGCGCGCCGGCCGGATAGGCTGCGCGCAGGGGCCGCGCCGCCTCGATTTCGCATCTCCGCTCCGCGGCCGACTGAGGGGCCAGCTCGCCCGGCGACAAGCCCAGCCATCGCCCAGCGCCCCGTATCGACGGAGGGCACGCAAAAAACCCGCACCTACGACTAGGGTGAGCCCGTGAGGGCGTCGGTGTCGGCCGCGGGCGGGCTGCGAGGAGGGCGCGGGTGGGAGCATGGGAGATGCACCACCGCTCGACGAAGACGCGCCCGACGAAGCCCTGCTTGCGGAGGATGGTCGATCCTCACCTACTAGCGTCGGGCGTGTGCGAAAAAGAGCGCAAATCGGAGCTCAACTCGCGCGCGGCTGGGAAAGGAGGTGTGGCACCCCTCCGAAGGCGCCTCGCGAGGAGCTGCTGCTGCCTCCAAACGCGCTCGGGCAG